TACTCTTTGGATCCGGAGTTCCCAGTAAAACCAGACTGGCTTCATGTGTTCTTGGTTGTTTTATGTCCAAGGTCTTATCTAGTTCTTATAAACAGCCCTCCTAGAGCTGAAACTCTAATTTTAGAAATATTTTTACAGCGTTCATGTAGTATCTACAAGCCATGATGTAATGTAATGACGGGTTAGAGCCTGAGTTTGGGGCTCTGAAGACCTTCATGTGAATCTCTTTCCTCGGTCTTCTTTCTTGGGCAAGTTGCTTCACTTCTCTGAGCCTCCGTTTCTTGTTGAATAGGGACAGTAATCAAAGTCCACTCTCGTTTGTAGCCCTTGGGGATAGATATGTTTGGGGGTTGAGAGTTTTTCAAACTTTAGGAAGCTAACAGAGTGCATACAGTGTGTGATACAGGACACTCTCGTGGGGTCTGGGCCGCCCCCCATACTCTAAAGGAAAACATGGAGATTTCTGCAGCCAAATGGACAAGGACTCTAAACTACACTAAGGGAGTCAGATCTTGGTGCCAAAACTTGGGACCAAGTTTTGAAAAAATACTGAGAATTTCAGAGCTGTTGCAGCTTTTTTGTGGATAAGGGAATATGGACCTGCATGCGTTGCCCTCCCGAACATGGCGTGGAATAATCTCTCAGTAAATAATGCTGGCGGCAGTGATGTGATTCGTGGTGATAGTAGGAGGTGACTCCAGTCAGTATTTGAAATAAACACCTCTGCGTTTTAAAGGGAAAATGTCTTTACGTGGTCTTGATATTGTCTATTGTTGAGACACGGGTCTGTAAGAATTAGTTTCCTCTGATGGGGGTGTAGTATTTAGTCACAAATTCTTAAAGAAGCAGTCACCAGAAATAGTAGTCCAGGAAACCGTGAATGTTAGGTAGTGGGGGCTTGTCACAGAAAATCACATAGGTTGTACAAGATGGCCGGAACTCTGCCGCGTGAGTTGGGGGAAAGGCGCCAGCAGCCAGTTCCCACGGCCTTTAACTGAGAGTTGGTAGTGTTTGCTGTCCATTGTAACACAGTCACTTCATCAGAGGTTGTTTGCCCAGAAGCCTCCAGCTGTTGGCAAACAAGAACAGCTCGTTCCTTCCAGACCCCATTGTGGCACCTATATGGCCCTTGAGCTGACTCAAGAGGCGTACAGACCAGCGGTTTAAGAGAATGGACCCTTTGGCCAGATGTTCTGGATCTTAGTCCCCAGACTGGCTCTTCCACAAAGACCCTTAGTTGAGGGTCTTTGGTCCTGTGTCTTCATCTGTGAAATGGGGATAGGATATGCCTCCCCTACCCCAGATCACTGTGCGGATTGATGGCTTGGTGCACACACAGCCCAGGTCAGTGCTTGCTGCAGCAGCAGGTTCTCAGACAGCAGTATAGTTATTAGGTAAGAAATGAGCATAATCATACTTGCCATCATCATGATCTATCTTGTAATTACAAACAGGGAGTTAAGCTAAACAATATGTAAGGTTTCCTGACCATCTGACATTTTGACTTAGATGCTGAGACGGTATCTGTGTTGTGTTGGTGGCTCACTTTAGAGGGACCTTGACCTTGGGGCTGTCACTGTGTCCATTAGAGGGCACTGATGTACAGACGAATGAGCTCCCACCACATCCTCTGCCCAGAGAGGGAGGTGGCCTAGGCCTCCCAGCTTTGCTCTCCTGCACAGGAACCAGGTAGCCTGTGGGAAGGGATCACTTTTGTCCTTTCCCTTCAGTCTAGCAGCAGAGCCTCAAATCCTGTGCCAGCCTTGTTTCTGGGGCTGGGGCCACAAGACAAATAACGGCTCCTGGCGACAGATGAGGTCAGGGAGGCGGCTGGCTGGATTAGGTTGATGAAGCCCCTGATTCGCAAATATTTTTATGTTTTAAATGGAAAAGATTCCACAAGCATGTCTTTGAAATGCTCTTTGGGCAGCTGTATTGATTCCTTGGCAATCTGGGAAATGTTCTCAGACTTGTAGAAGAAGCGAAAGCCTTGTGGGGAATTTGGTTTTGAGTGTGAGCTGGATTTCATAATTGTCTGCCACTTTTTTTTTTTTAAGTGCTTGGAGTTTGTACACCTTCTTTGAATTACTTTCATGTTTGTTGGAAATACAGTCTCACCTGGTATTTACAATTCTGTCTAAAGGAACCGCTAATAAAAGAAAAATTGTAACTCTGAGCAGTTGGTTCATAATAGCTTTAATTTCCAACTTACACTTCCTGAAAGACTTTTCTTAGGCTTCAAAGCCAAATTTTTATTTTTTTATTTTTATTTTTAAATTTATTTTAAAGATTTTATTTATTTATTTGACAGAGAGAGACACAAGAGAGGGAATAAAAGCAGGGGAAGTGGGAGAGGGAGAAGCAGGCTTCCTGCCGGGCAGGGAGCCCGATGCGGGGCTTGATCCCAGGACCCCGGGATCATGACCTGAGCCCAAGGCAGACGCTGAACGACTGAGCCACCCAGGAGCCCCAAAACCAAATTTTTATTATTTTAAAAATACTGTAGTTTGTTTCTGTTTACATTTTACTTTTTCAAATTGTGTCCTTGTTTCAAGTCTGTATTGAGTTGCTGGTGATTATCAGATTTGCTGCTTACCAGTGGCTAAATTTTTCTTTTAACAGTAAAGTTGAGGAATATACAGAATATACTATAGTTAAAAAGAAAGATCTCTTAGTCCTTCATACAGATCTGATAGGCAGGGAGACTTACGTATCTTTAAGTTCTTTTCAGGCTTAAAATATTTGATCCTTTTCTCCTGTGTGGTATTGGCCTCATGCCCAGAGGCACTTTCCATTTAACTGTATCCATCCTTGAGGTTGAGATGTCTTGAAGTTGTCAATGGACATTTTGTAGGAGTGGAACAGGATCTGTGTTTTATAATATGAATTAAGAGACTCATGTAAACAACTCAGCAGCTTTATATCTGCCTTGAAGTCAGGCGTGAATGTAGCTCTACTTACTAATGGTAATACTAAAGTGCAGTCTCTCTCTCTTTCTCTGTCTCTTATCTCAAGAAGGGAAAATAATGTACACTAATTAAAAAGCAATGGATGGGGTGCCTGGCCAGCTCAGTCGGAGGAGTGTGTGACTCTTGATCTTGGGGTCATGAGTTTGAGCCCCGTGTTGGGTGTAGAGATTACTTAAAAAAAAAAAAAAATTAAACTGAAAAGCAACGGATAATTGTAGCTTGTGCCACCAAAGAGCTTACAATTAGATGGAAGCCTGCCATGGGCTACGGTTTAGGGGTGGGGATGCTACACATACTGTGTATCCGCCGAGCTGGTGTTAATGTGCTCAGCAGAGCCCTCACAACTCCCTGTTACAGTCACGAGCACCAAGGAAGCTACAGTCCAGCAAGGATGAAGAACTCGCCCAAGAAGACATAGCTAGGCCCTGGGTATGCAGCAGGGGCTAGAAATGGAGGGTGGAAACGAGAGAGCTTTCAGGAGGGCTGGGAGTGAGGTGACACAATACATATAGATCCACTCAGAAGTACTCTGATAGTGTGACCCCAGTGACTAGCAGATTGGTGGTGTTGACAGAAGAGGTTCAGAAATGAGCTATAAAAATAAGGTAGATGTGGCTTTAGCTGAGTCTCTGCTGCAAGGCTTGGCCTCTGTGCACCCCCCCCCCCCCACGCCCAGTGCACCAACACTTCTGCTAATTCTGCAGGGTCTTTAAGAAAGGCCATCAGTGATTTATTCAGGTTTGCAATCTGTTTTATTTACATGTACTACTAACTTTGCTAAACCCTATGCAGAAAGGGCCTTTGGTCAGACCCTTGGCTTCTGAAGGTCGCTGGTTTGGAGCGATAGATAACAAGGCCAGTTGTCCCTGGACAACTGGCCCTTACCAGCTGCCTTTTTTTTTTTTTTTCCTTCTTTTTAAGAGTTCTGTCAGCACAGCTGATCTCTCTCTAGTGCAGGTAACAAAGGGCGAGGGATCCTTTTCATAGCACTGAATCCCAAGTTAAGACCCCTTTTATTTTGCCATTAGTGGGGAGCCATGACTGGTCTGCTTCCAGGTTGTCCCCTCAACCACTGTCCTGGCTGTGCCTCCCCAGCTGGTTCTTCAGTCTGAGAGAGTTTTGATCCATATACATCATTACCGTAGTTACTAAATTCGAAGTATGAGAGGTGGCCTTCAGCAGTCTGTTAACAAATGTATTCGAATATTTAAATACCTTGTACCCAAAGTTTCAGTTTTTAGCGGAAGACGTCACTGACTTATTTTTTGCTAGTTCTCTTTTCCCCATCAGAAAGAGGCCAAGTGTACATTTGAGGGTAGTGTAAATATTTTTGTTAGTTTTTTGTGGTTTCTCAAGTAAGAGAGCCAGTGAACTCCTCAGTACTGACTCTGAACCTAGAAACGTCGGGTCGCACTGCTTAACTTTTACTCCCTTTCTGTATGTGGTGGATGTCAACTTGCAAGAACTTTTAAGCAATTAAATTCGTGGAATGTTTAGCTTTCACAACAGCTTAGTAGTTTACAGAATAAATTATCCTCAAAGACCAGAACGGAGGCATTTAAGTGTTTTGTTTTCTTAGGTTTTATTTTTATGTTTTCCATGTTCTAAAGAAGAGGCAGAAAAACATTAACTCTGTGGTTAAAGTTGAATTGCCAGAGTTGGGAAGCTTTGAGCCTTATAAAAATGTTAAGTTAAACTGGTTGTCAGTGGCTTGATAACCAGTATCTTATCCAAAACCCATTCAGTTTTGGATGCTCCGTTGCGCATAAAATGAGATGAGACTTAATCATTACTGCACGTAATATTTATACAGAGACAAACTTATGCTCTTACAGTTAAGAGCTGCTGAAAATCACGTTGGGAAAGCTGATCAGGCATGGTAGATTAGTGTCCAGTTGCTTCCAGTTTTTTTCCTTCCTTTGCTTCTCGTTTGTTATAGTTTTGACAACAGAATGTATCAGCGGGTAGCCCTAGCCATCGAACAAGGCAGAACATTGTTTTTATGGCATATATGCCTGTATTTTATTGTAGGTGCTGGACTGGATTGAGAACCATGGAGAAGCATTTCTGAGCAAACATACGGGTGTGGGGAAATCTCTTCATCGGGCCAGAGCTTTGCAGAAACGTCATGAAGATTTCGAAGAAGTAGCACAGGTAAAACCATGGCTTTCACTATTTTCTCCCATAAATACCTATGTGGTTGGTTTTGAATTCGTTTTAACCACATCTGAGATGACTGATCCTTGGCTAGATATGTTTAAAGGTGATTCAGAGGAGGTAACTCAGATTTGAGAGTGAAGCTGTCCTTGCCTGCTCAGATATCGTCTGTCGGCTGGGCCATAAAATAAGGTGTTCTTGACACAGAAAAATGCCCTGAATGTTTTTGCCGTATTTATTGTACCAATGCCTATTGACTCATTTGTGAGATTTCAACTGATAAACAGTAATGGTTCTTGCATTTCTGTAATGATGGGCCAGCATTTCTTGTCCTTTTCCAGTTCTCTTAAATGTGTGTGCTTAGAAACAGGATGTAGGGTGTGTAGTGTGTTTAGGGCATGGGATTTGTGGAGTTGGAGCATGGGCTATAATGCTCACTAGCTGCGTCGTTTGGAAAAGTCTCTTCACATTTCTCAGATTGACGTTCTTATCTGGAAAGTAGGCGCAGTGAAGGCTTCTGGAAGAGAGGAAGTCAGGGGTGTGTGTGGCAGCGGCATGGAAAGTACCCAGGCCAGGACCTTCTACTTATTATTTGGTAAATGTGCTTTTTGTTTTGTGTTTTGAAAGAAAGTGGAGTGAAGAAGGGAGAGATTACAATACCATGGCCTTGTGTGTGTGTCCATTCCATGTTATATGGAAGTTATAAGGAGGTGTAGGGGGAAAGTTACTTTAAACAGAAGTTGTCTAATAGGATGCATCCAAACTGAAAGACATTATTGTAAAACCGAGGAACATCAGAGACAAAGTCTTGAAAACAAGGACAGAAATGACAAAACAACCCCTGTGAGAAGGGCTATTAGAAAGACAGCCGACTTCTTGGGGAGCTGGGTGGCACTGTTGGTTGAGTGCCCGACTCGTGCTTTCGGCTCAGGTCGTGATCCTCGGGGTCGTGAGATCGAGCCCCGCGTCGGGCTCTGCGCTCAGTGGGGAGTCTGCTTGGGAGTTTCCCTCTTCCTCTGCCCCTACCCTCCACTCATTCTTGCTCTCTCTCTAAAAAAAATAAATCTTAAAAAAAAGAAAGAAAGAAAGGAGGGAAGGAAGGAAGGAAGCAAGAAAGCAAGCCCACTTCTCACCAGGAACCACAGATTCTGGAAGTTGGTAGAATAGTCTTAAGGGAAATTAACTCTGAACCTGGAATTCCAGATCCAGCTGAACTATCGTTCAATGATGAGGATAAAATGTGGATCAAGACTGAGTGAGTTTACTACTCAGATACTTACCAGAAGAACTAAAGCATATAGTTTAATTTTTTAAAGATTTGTTTACTTCAGAGAGAAAGAAAGATTGCTCGTGCATCAGAGTGGTGGGGGAGGGGCAGAGGGAGAAGGAAAAGAATCTTAAGCAGGCTCCATGATCACGCCGGCATGGGGCTTGATCTCACGATCCTGAGATCATGACCTGAGCTGAAACCAAGAGTAGGACGCTTAACTGACTGAGCCACCCACGTGCCCCAAGGCATATAGTTGAGTAAGAATAATGGAAGCACCCACTATAATGGGAACGCTGCAAAAACAGGGACTTTGTTTTGTTCTCTATCTCTAAGGCCTAGAACAATGCCTGGCACATTTAAGTAATCAGCAGATATTTATCAAATGAATTAGTTAATAAAAAGGAAAGTATGAGAAGAAAGGACTGGGATCAAGAATGAGCATAGAAATTGGGAAATATATTTGTAAATCCAAAGATTGACCATTTAAACGGTAGATTTGGAGTAGTTAAAAACAGGATGGCGCTGAAGTACCAGAGCACTTTAACTTGGAAGAGGAAGTGGGTTCTGAGGCCGGCAGGAACTACTGCTCAGCTGACTGACACTTGTAAACTCACAGGCACATTAGCATTTGGGAGTGACCACTTAGAGTCTAGGGATAGGAAGTGTCACATCCTAGTAAGCGTAGCAGGAAAAGAAACAGAAAACTGGGTAAATAAAAATTCATGGAAATGGTCTGGTGGAAGCAAAAGAAACGAAGAAAACAAAAATCATGATAGAAATCACAGAATAAGATGCAGTAATTTGTTCATAAGTATCAGTAATTACAATAAATGCAGAATAGATTTTACTTGTAAAGAGACAAAAGATTCTCTGATTCTCTTAAAAAATCATGGTATTATTTTCAGAGGACACACCTAAAACATAAATACCCAGGAAGTTTGAAAGTATATAGCCTATTAGAGAAAGATCCACCAGGCAAATATTAACCAAAATAAAACTGATTTACGAATATTAATATTAAGCAAATAGGTTGGAGGGTATAAAAACATGATTAGAAGTAAAGAGCTTCTTCCCTTATAAAAAGGAAGAGTGTCAATAGATCCAACAGTGTGGTCTCATCTGTAAGGCAGGATAGATAGAGGAGTAAACCGTGGCTGTGTGTCCGTAGGTTCTGCGTGACAGAGGGTTAAGGTACACACTAGTTTGGGGAACTGAATTCGGGACAGACTTAATGGGATAACAGAACAGTCTGCGCTTAAGTCTTGTTCAGTGAAGATGCCTTTTCTACATGTCTTCACATACAAAGTAAAAATGACAATCCCTGTCTTTCTGCTTTCTCCATCTCGAGAAAGGAGCAGGAAAAGATGGTGTGTTCAGCGGCCTTGCTGCAAGCAGGATGCGTCTTTGGAGCATTTTTCTTGTCTGTTTTATGTGGGGTGTCCCTACTTCATGCCTGTTGGAAAATATTTTGTCTTCCTCTCGTAGAAGAAATGTGGAAAATGTGCTCTTATCTCCCCTTCATTTTTTCCATGCGATAAGCTACTGCTGTGGCCGATGTGGTTTGGGGCTGGATATGAAATTTGTATCATATGAGCAAAGACTTCAGGCACTGAAGAAAGTGAGAGGCAGAACTGCAGACAACCAGGCTCTGGAGATGGAGGCTGCGCCCTCACGTGGCATGGTCACCCATGGCCGTAGGCTGGGCTGCTCTCGCCTCTTCCCACACCTTCCGGAGCTCCCTCTAATAGGGGGGATGATGGTCTACCGAATGTCCTTGTGTGTCCAGCACTCCATCGACCCTTCTCCCTCCAGTTCCTGTGGTTCCTTCCATTCCAAATTAAGAAAATCTCTACTATGGCTAACGCCCTATCTTTCCATGGTAAACTCATCTCCTCTGGTCTAAGCCAACCATCAAAGCTGTCAACACAGGTTTCCAGGGGGCAGCAAGAATGAGAAGACTCTTTGTGGGAAACATTTCTGCCCTCAGGTTTCTAGGGCAAGCCAAGGGTCAAAGTAGCACCCTGAGCTGTGGTCTGCTCTTCACCCCTGGTTCAGAGACAGGCAGATGCTTGTTTGCGCTCACCTCTACCTACTCAGCTGAGTCCCAGTCCTTTCTTATCTGTGCTCTTTGTCCCTGGGATTCTGAGGGGTGCCCATACTCTCCCCCGTACACTGTAAGTGCTTAAACCCCAAATCTGAGCTGTGCATCAAGAGCAGCCTTGAATACAAACCCTTAGTTCACTTTGCAGACATCCGCACCCGCTGCCCCTCCCTCTGATTTTCAGATCCTGGCCATGTGCAGCAGGTTTGGTCCAGACAAACAGTGGCCTTGCCCTCGAGGCAAGATTACATGTTGTGTTTGTGGCTTCCTTCACTGTAGTTTTCTGGCTCTTCCCGAGGGACACAGGCTCGGCGCAGCACAGGCCGAGGCCGGCGGCAGTGACCTTCAGCACCCTTTCCCCTGCCTGCCCCATCCTCGACTGCTGCCGGCAGAACAAATCACAGAAGTGCTTATGGCAGAGATCTAAGTCGGTATTTTAGATTTATGTCCTTTTTTGAACAGGATGGCCTTTGGAAGCCCCTTAAATTTGGGAGCAGATACGGTATTGTTAGTGCTTAATAAGGAGCTGTATTTCGTTTTCTGAAACATATTCACAAAAGTAAAACAAATTTTGGGGTTTAGGGAGAAGAAAATTCTTTTTTGCCGTTGTTTAAGGTTGGTGGTTTTTTAGGGTTGCATCTTGAAGGGTCCTTCGGAAAATCAATTCTAAATTGTCTTTAGCAATCTAGATTTAGCCATTTATTTAATACACTTATAGCCAGCTTCTCCAAAACAGTGAGTTGTGGCATATGGTGAAGTACCAGATACAAGAAGGAAGTGGTGAAAATCTTATGGTTGAATTCATTTAAAAGGCACTAAATATAGATTTATTATGTAGAACAGTTCTGGTGTTCTGGGAAGGAGGAACCTGAGAAGAAGTCAGGTTGAGTTGGTGGGAGCGAGCTGCACAGCCTGGCGCGAGACTTCCTGCAGGAGCCGCCGGCGTGGGGCTTTGTTTCAGGCGCCGCTGTGGCCACATCAGGAAGCACTTGGATACGTTTTGCATGCAGTTTTGCAGAGCCAAGAACCTCCTCTCTACTAATCTGATGATCCATCCCTTCTTTATTTTGTACGGTGATTGTGAGTAGCTACTTCCTATTGCATGAATTCGGGCTGATGAATGTAGAGGGTGTGGCCTGGGCAACTATGTCGCATTTTCACGCGGGAGCTTTACAGAAGAAATACGTGCTTTCCCCACGGAAGCTTTCTGCACATGACTGTTGGAGAGGGAGATGCTCAGGCAGGCATTTTTCTCTTTTACCTTCTAAGTAGGTATTCAAGTTAATGTTCCTTTTTAGATTTAAAAAGCTATGATTACAATAGCCGGTAAAGTAAAGCCCACAAAACTCTGGTTCAAGGAAGAAGCCGGCTTCCAGAGCACAGATTTCTTGAATACGATTAGTAAATCTCTGCCATAGCATCTCCCCACAGGCGTGTATCCTGCGAGCGCTTACACTGCCTTCTCTCCTGTCTGCCTGTCCCCTGAGATTCACATCACCTTCCAAAGATGGAACGTATTATGACAGCCTTCTCCATGAAGCCATTTCTGTCAACAACTTTTTATGTGTGCCATGTAATTATCTTGTCTTCCGGGATAAAGAAGTGTGGCATTTAGGAAAGCAGGAG